CTAACTGATCTGGTTATATAGAACGCCCACTTTGCAACGCTGTACGATGGACCAAGCTTGACTTTGTCTTACATACGGGAAAACTACTGGATCGTTAGTGGGCTTCACATAGTGAAGAGAGAACGTCGCAAGTGTCTAATATGTCGACGTTTCAAAGAAGATAAACTAACTCAGATTATGGCAGACTACTAGAGCCTCGGGTCACTTCATCGCGTGTTTTCTCCCACTTTGGCATCGAAATCCAGGAGCTTTTGACATCAAAGCAAACAAGGGTCCTGAAATGTGAACACACAAGGGCTACGTTGCAGTGTTTGTTTGTCTCGCGACAAAGGCTGTTCATCTCGAGCTCGTGTGTGATCTCAGTACACCTGGGATTCTGGCAGCATTTTGACGTTTTTGCGCCGGAAGAATAAACATCGATCGAGGACGAAACTTTATCGCAGTGTCTAGAGGCTTAAAGAAAGAATGAAATGAATCAATGAAGAGCTTAGGAGCAAGATTGATGATTATGACATTCAATGGCACTTTAATGCGCCAGCCAGAGACGTGTCTAAACTCTCGACCTCTGATAGTCTCTGATAGTATCCGTCAAAACTAAGAATGGAGTTAGGCAGCGGCCGATTTTAAAATTATCACGTTCACCGGTGAGGAAAGAACAAACTGAACAATAAGCAGGTGACGTTCAGTCATCAACTTGTGATGACGTCACACCAGCCGTCACCCAACCAAGACAGTAACGTTCTAGGTGCACGGCAAGAAAACTCGTAGGAACATTTTTTACCACGGCAATGATGCTGTTTCTATTTTGCTTTAGCCCTGCTCAATGTTCATACAACATATCCGCTTTGAACAACAATCAAAACATTTATTTTGACAAGATGTATGACATGAACCTCATACGGGATGACTGGAAACTGATCGTTCGTGACAACGTACTGGTCACCATTACGTCTCGTGCAGATTTACGTCGGTCACTTAGAAGAGTACCTACATACTACGCTACGCTTCCGACACAGTACAAGAATTATATTCTTGTTGTTGTGTACTTACTTCTTAGGTTCCTTCTTTTGGGCAGGCAGGATGTACGGGTTACCGCACAATAGTTAATAAAACATGCATTACTCATTAATTTAGGTCACTTAGGGACAATATTATTATACACATATATATTACATATTATTACATGCATCATTTTTATTTTATAATAATCATTAATTATGTAAGAAATTATTCCTATACAATAAAATCAGTGTTAGAACGACTTCCATTGGGTTTATTTCGTACATTAATTTGCGTTTTGCACTCATCTTGTAAACTGTAGGTACACTACAAATACTAAAAATAAAGAAACTGCGGTTGCCAACTCTCTTGCCAAGCTCTCTCTCTCTCTCTCTTGCAAACTATGACGGATATTCCCTATGAGGCAATCTATAGGAGGCCTATGTCCAGCTGTGGACTTAATAGGGCTGTAACGGTAACGGTATATTCATTACTTTAGGATACGTTCTCTCTGCTGGTGTTAAAGTAAATTCGCTAAAAGTTGTCAGCTTTTAAATAATTTTTTCATTCTATTTATCTTTTTTTTTCATATCAAAGTGGCTTATTGAACACACCAGAACATCCACTGTTTTGCGCCAGTCATTTGTTTAGTGCCAGTAGACTACAGGATATGGAACAGCATTGGAGTTCGCCAAGATGTCAATGCGTCTGCCATGTCCGCCTCTTTAGTTTGGATGTTACAGGTAGTTATTAGATGCAGAAGTCATTTAACATTAGGTTATATGATTTTTTTTGTTGAAACATAAGTAAAACACAAAATGGAAAGCAAAAAATTTATATATTTCATATTTCAGACTTTTGCCTAAACTGTAGAATTATTTTAACATTGGTACATACATTCTTAAATATTATTGCGTTTCGAGAAGAACTAATTTTACAATAGCGAAAGAAAGGAATCACCAGCAAAATGGAGCAAGTTACGAAGAAGTTTAGCTGACGAGCTGGTCCGTAGAGACATTTAGTACCTATAGGTTGAAGTAAAAGACTCCAATCACATTATTTGTCATAGTTCTTCAATGCGGTACGGTATCGTTGTAACAATAAGGAAACTGTACGCAGCGTTACATCAAAAGGAGTATAATTGAAAACACCAAGATAATAAGTCTTAATAAAAGTTACAAATGCATGTTGAAGTCACTACACGAGGCGTCTCACGCCGACCGATCTACATTCATACAATTGCTATATTATAATATAAAAGTTTTAAGTGCCATCTGTAATTTACAATGATATTTCAATCAGCATACGAGCTAGGGTTCGTACGCTATTTATATTTATATATTACAACGGAGTAAGAAAATATGGTACATTTTAAGATTAAAACTAATTCGAAAACATCTTATGTGATCAGATATTGCTTGCCCGTCATATTTTCTCACTGTTATACTATGTATGTTACACTTCACTTACGCTACAAGTCACAATTGATCCAAAATACAGTTAGCTATACTGGCAACATCGTCGGTGAAAATTGCATGAGACGCACACGCGATGATACGTGATGTACTCGTTGGTAATCAGTCGTAATGCCTTGATATCTGAGTTACAGTGGTCATAAATATGACAGTAAAGTTGAAAATTCCAAAAACGTCAACATTATACAATGATAAGTACTTGTTTATGTTCAAAAGGTATGTGCCATGATATTGGGGCATCTACTCGTTTGGATTTGGTTCCGGTCCGAGATCACAGTGTCGGAGTGAGGGCATCGACAAGTTGTCTGCCACCAGGGCGGCACCACATAAGAATGAGGTGAAATATTTGGCAGATTTCATAGGGAGTGAAGTTAATTTGTTCGGGAAAATGCAAGGGAAAAGGAAACATTAGTTTCCTTTTAAAATATTATTTATTGGACCGGAGCTCCCATGGTGCAACAAAACGATTCTTTGAAATCTATCACCTCCGTAACTGTTACACAACGCGGACAAGATTTGTTAACAATAAAAATCCGAATTTGAATTTTTTTTCTTTTAAGTACTATCTAATCAGTTCGCTAATTTACATCTGCGCAATGTCACACCATTTGATTGAATCTTTTGTTGAAATAAAAATAGTTATGACTTTAGACTTTTACTCCGCTCCGTTTATGATGCTGGCAAAAGGTTTTACCTTTGCATCTGCATCGACTTTAATGTTTTATGTACATTAGATTAAAAATAAATAAACAAAACTACGGATATTCTTAAAAATAGAAAAATGAAAAAATTTGTACAAAAAATTAAAGAGTAAACCGCTGAGGCATTGTTTTGCGTATTTACACACTTTAGATACCAATACACTCTTACTTAAAACTCAATTTCTCAATTATGATGACATTGTGTAACATATAAGTTCACCTCACTCACAACACCGACATCGACATCTGGTGAGCGTAAAATGAATGGCCCTCATTAAGATAAAACAGTTGGCAGTCTGAGCAAATAACGAACCTAACTACTGACTAAATAAACAAAGAAATAATTCCTTTACACGCAGTGCTTTGCCACAGGTATACATCATTGCGGCGGCGCTAGGTTCGCACCATTGAGGCAGTGTGGTCCTAGTGTAAACGTGCCTATACGGCTATAGTGAGCTTGGCTGTCCAAGTTAGCGAACGGAAAAACGAATCGTCCGTCGCCAGGCGCTTGAAGGTTGCATCATAATATCCAGTAAAGGCCGTTACACACTATAACGACCTCACATCACACCAACATTGTCACAATTCCATCTTTTAGTTCGGCGTAAATGAGTAGATAGAGCGACACTATACGAACGATACTATTATTAGACAAGTATAGCGCGCGAGCAACACCGAGAGTGGGCTACTTGAAATCCTGAAGTGTGTTCATATATATTTACTACAATAATTACCCATATGCGATAGGCTAATGTATATAACGCATAGTGTTTTACTACGCGTCAAGTCTGTGTTGAGCTTTTATGTATACTACTAGACAGGTAATTCAGAACAAAAGCTGTGTAAAGACGCGCGGGCAGCTAGCTGGCACGGTAAGTATGTCACGCAGTTGGATTTCATTCCATTTGTAACAATTACTATTTTTAGGCAAATGCAAAGTAAAGTTACATTCTTTTCCGAAATAAATCGAATAACGTTGACAAAGTGCGCACATGAATAACGACAGCGTTTTCTTAGTCATATTAAACAAAATTAGTATCAGATTGTCAAAAAAAAACTTTCGAGGTTACAAAACAGAACGAAGTTTAGGATGACCGTAACTTAGTGCGCAATGTACTGAAACAGAAACAGAAACCTTTTTATTCAATATGGATTATGAATAATACTTATTGTAAGTCACTTTTTTTTATTACCACTGGTTCGCAAAATAAAAACTTTTGTCCTGGGAAGAACCAGCAAGAAACCCAGCGGGACTATTCTTTTTTTAAATAAGATCTTACAGTCATGTATGTTGCAATTAGCAACACAAAACAAATTAGAAATAGTTTGGTAGCAGTCACCCTTCCATGGGTTTTTATCATTCATAAATTCCTTAATATTATAATAACCCTTTTTATACAAACTTAGTTTAAAGTTTTTGAACTTCGTGTATGTCAAAATTTGTATATTTTGTATATTAAGGACGCAGAGTCCGCCTAGTAGTACACAAATGTCTAGGTTTTTGGTCGTTACAGTGTGCAGCGGCCTTAAGACAGCGCGGTCGCACTCGGCGGTCACAGATATACCTACATAATACTATCACTCGATAGATATTATTAAAAAATAATCTTACATGTCAAAAACTTCAATAAACATCAAAAAATGCGAAGGTCAACGATGGCTAATAGGAGAGTTACAAACGACGCTATAAATATAATAATATATCTAACGAACAGGTAAATTTACATCTCAAAAATGATAACATCTCGCATAGAGTTAATAAAGGTAATATAATGTTATAAAAGGGCAAGATGGAAGGCGCGAGGAGACGTGAGGATGCTGGTCGTCAGTGCGGCGGCAGCGGCGCGCCCGTCTGTTGCACGCAAACGTTACAATCGCTCACTCATTTTCTTTATTTTGATAATAACTTAAAGACCACACATATAATATGTTAAAGACCACACATAATAATGTCCTCTAGACCGAATTTAGGCCACGCCGGCTTGCGTCAGCGGAGGCTAGCCATCGGCGCAGGACAGGATTATAGTGCCCAAATGTATGCGCAAGCACAGGAGCACTCTCTATTCCCTCACTCGCATAATCCGATGGGACGGTAAACCGACACGACCGGAGAGAGATCAGGCGCACGACCAACGGCTTTACGTGCTTTCCGAGGCACGGGGGTGAGACACCGCTAACTTTCTGACTCCGGGCAACTACTGAGAATTTCTTAACGGAAAAACTCAATAATTTGTTTTTTTGGCCCGACCCGGGATTCGAACCCAGGAGGAGGACCTCATGATCAGCAGTCGCACTACTGCAACCACTAGACCAACTAGGCAGCCAGACCACATATAATATGTTAAAGACTACATGTATTATAACTTAAGGATAGGAGTATACGTCTTGCTTTTGTGTGGTTGTTGTTGTGGCAAAGACATGTTCTAATTCTCTTCCACGTTGTACCGAGGTGGCACCACGCAAGAGCGTCCATAACTAAAGTTATATATAAAACTCCGATATTGATGTATTTACAATTATCGATAATATCGAAAATCCGATGTTTTTAAAAGTATCAATATTCCTACTTTCAACTGATCAGTGGGAATAATCAGTTGAACTGACCGTGTATGGCGACCATTATTACTGGAAAAGAAGAATTTCATCTTAGTCTTCATATGCATATGTATGATAGATGTATAAATGTCTATGGCCACATCATTCAGTTACCATGACGTAGACTGTATGCTCGTTTGTCACCCTGTATCCATCCATAAAAAAAAAGATTCCGTTGTAGCTATCGCTATCGGTAGTGGGACTGGTTACTCGCGGTATACTCACGACTGGGTACTCGCGGTATACTCACGACTGGTTACTCGCGGTATACTCACGACTGGTTACTCGCGGTATACTCACACTGTCCGATCGATGTCTGCGACGTGCGGGACGCGCGAGCTGCACGCTCAACTGCACGCTCGCGCCTGCACACTCTACGCCAGACCTGAATATATAACAAGAAAACTATAATGTTCTTCAGACCGAATTTTGATCACGGCGAACAAATGTATATAAACTCATCAACACGGTATAGGGACATTTTAAATAATTTTTCAGCCAATAGCTAGAGGCTAAAGCAGAAAGAATTTTATTTTCATACGTAATTATGATGTATATAGGTATGGCACGGGTATAATATATAACAAAAATGTATATAAACACATCAACACGGTATAGGGATATTTTAACAACGCATGAATTGCAAAGAGTATTTCAATATTCTCTTAAGACGAATATATCTAAAAAAAATTAATAATCTACCATTTTTTTACATTAACATTCTGATATTTTGGCGCATAGAAGAAAACGCAATTGTAAAAACTGTGCATTAAGAAAGTTTAATTTTTAATTTAAAAAAATAAAAACCTTGCGGCTACGGAGGACACACTGAAATGTTCGGGAATAAGAAAAACCACATGCACGGTATAGCTAAATTGTATTTTATTGTTTTTCGAAGTATTCTCCGTTCAACTTAATGCACTTTTCTATTCGTGCAAACCAATCATTAAAACAGTAATTTCAGTCTGAATGAAGTTGGTGTTGACAAAATGGCTGATTTGTACGCTTCTACAGCTACTTCTCTACTTTTACAGCTGCTTCGGACTCTTCAAACCGTTGACCGCGTAATAAATCTTTCATTCTAGGAAATGTAAAGAAAGCGTTTGGGCTCAGGTCAGGACTTTACGGAGGATGGCTCATCAGCTCAACGTTTTCCTGCTGCAAAAAATCATTTGTCTTCCGAGCCGTATGGGAGCTCGGATTATCGTGATGTAAGATGATGCGATGTTACAGGTTATTATCTGGGGATTGCGCCAGCCATTCTAGAATGGCCAGCGCAATCCCCAGGTCCCAATGGCTCTAGAGCCGTGACACCATGTTTGACCAACCAGTTTATTACCACCCTGGCTGTATATGATAACAGGCATTGTTGTGCATAAGCAGGAAATTTTGACCCATTTTAGTTCGACGTGGCAAGACTATTAGTTCTAGCACCTCATTATGGTATTTTTTACCTGTCATAGTGCGCTGTATTCGAATGAGGTTTGTTCTACCACCAAAACTAATTATACCACACAATAACTGTACCACCTTTTTATGGATGAACATATTGGGGTGTGGCGGCGCTGTCGTCGCGCCACAAGCGAAATACACCGAAGCTTAAATCACGCTATCAACATTCCGAATCATAAACAGTATATATAGAACATCTCCGAACTATACACGGAGTGTTGGCCGCTCCCCGGGCAGAACACCTTGCCCGGCGGGAGATCTCCCCTTTTCCTACCACGGCCACAGGGGTCATTGAAGCAGGCTTGGTACGATCAGGAACTCTCCAAACACGTATACGAAAAGCACCAACGACGATTGATGAGGTTCCCAGTTCAAATGTTCTCTAGCCAAGTGCAGACTTCGTCCACGATTTCTATTCATAGAGCTGGAACCCGAAGTGGTCTACGAGCACGAAGGTTAGCGTGCTGCCTCCTCCTCACAGTTGTTTTATATAACATAATGAGTTATAGCTCGCTTAATGTAAAAATTAAAAAAAAATACGATCGAATTCAAACCCCTGGGCGACCATTAGAATGAATTAAAAATTAGTAAAACCATGGTCTTCTTTGAAAATTGTGAATTATTTGCGTCCTTCAAACCAAAATTCTCCTAAATGATATTTTTCGTTTTCTTATGCCAAGATTTAGTGAAGAATTGGTGAGAATTAATCACGAAAGTAAGAAATTAGTAAATGTTAAAAAACAGCTTCATCCTTACCTAAAATTCTAGGCATACAAAGTTAATAATTCACAGTTGTGCTTAAAATTAAAGATTTCTATGTATACTGCTAGACCTTGAAGTGCCTTCAGAACAAACTACAACTGTGATTGCACTGGCGCGCTGTGCTGCGGCTAGTGGCCACGCCATGTACGCCACGCAAGATGGCATTTGACGGTTGCCGTGTTTACATATTTATGTGAAATAAACTTCAAATTACGTTATTAAATAATGCTGTGGCACGTAGATTTTCACATTTATCCGCGATTAAGAATCAAAACGCAGGTGCGTTGTCATTCGTGAGGACTAAGATGGAATGCCCCGTTTCCAGTAAAAAGGGTTTCCGTTTTTCTACATTCACCATACGAAACACAACAGTATTAAGCTGCTATTTTACGCTGGTATTCTGTGAGAGCGTGGTCCTTCCCCAGTCAAGCCGACTGATTTGTACTACATAATATAGCTGCAACGTGGCTCTACTACGTATATACATAGAAGTTATTACTTAAAATACACACATACATCACTTTCCTCCTTGCAAAGCGAGTCGGAAGAGGAGGGGCCCGTGTTTAGTGGTGAACGTTTACCGACTGATGATGACCAAGAATACTGTGCAATATGTTGATGTTAATGGTCGAACGAGTGATGCAAAATGGCAAATGTGGCAACCTGTCCGCGGACGGGTCGTCGTCGGGCAGCAATGGCAGCTCGTCGTCGCGGCGCGCGTGGCACTCGCAGCGGCAGTGCTCGGGCTCCACGTACTGCAGACCGCCCCCGTCCCCGCCCCCGCCTCCGCCTCCGCCCCCGCCCCCTGTATCCGCCTCCGCTTCCGGTTCCGCCGAAGTTTCCGTTGCCGGCAACGTTTGTATCCTCTTTGGCTGCTTGCGCCTCTCTGGCACCTCTTCGAAATCTATCCACTCCGCTTTCTTTCGATTCTCGCATGATGCTAATGATAGTTCTGTGTTTAGAAATATTTCGTAATTGAAAGATATGAAGAAGTTTACTGACACATAATTTACTAAAACCTCGTTATAATACATAAAACCTAGATTATAATATTTATTTTGTATTTATTATATTGTAAATATTAAGTTAACACCGCTAAATCATTTTGAATTAAAACTACGAACAAATAATTTAGTTTTGTTAGGTTACATGTAAGATAACATGAAATAACTAAATTAGTTAAAAAATACCACGGATTACCCTTTTTATAAAATGTTCTAGAAATTAAATATAATGTAATAATTTATTAGCTTATAACAAGGAAAAGGCCACCGACTCAACTTTATACTGCAGCAATGTTGCTGCAGCACTGTTGTACTCGTAATCTTTACTTGTGAGGCAGAAGTTAGATTTACCAAAATAGTATTATTATTTGTTATCACTAACAAATGTATTAAAATGTCTTCAGAGTTGACCTTTAGCCAAATAACATAACATAAACACTCACATCTGTCACACAGAGGGGTAGGCAGAGACTAACAAACTTCCATTTAGCACGATCCTGAAATACTTCTCTCGCCTCTTCCACATCCATATACCCACGCATACGTGCTCGTCGGTTAAGGGTACTCTTAATTTGTTATTTGTTTGTTTTTAATATATCGCCAATTTGGTCGACTAACTTTCGACCTTTAGCCAAACAGATGAAATAAAGAAATAAAGTAAACGCTCCATGCGTTTACTTTTCAACACAATATGTTGATCATTTTTATAAAATAAAGATGTACACCTGATCGTAAGTGGATGCTGTGGTCCATAGACATCTATATTTACCCTGAGAAGTAAGCTGATATACGTCGTTTCCGGTAAAAAGGGTTTGATGCGTCACGTTGCTATATATATATATATATATTGCATTTTCTAGCAATTTTGATTACAGCTTTGGTCTTCAGCAGACATTCGATGTTGAAACTATTTCAAGACTTCAAAACTAACACAGATCTTAGGGTTTTTGTCTCCATCGATGTAGATACTTGTTTCATTGTGTCCATTAATTATTTACATGCGCAGTCATTAAAATACTTCCATTAAAAGAAATAGAGAAGAGAGCTCAAGAACAAGGTGCGAAACGATTGTTACAGATCATCATCCACCTGCAGCAGCAGCGTCGCAGGCAGTAACAGCTAATTAGTACAGTTTGCTTAAGTAACAACATCCTACCAAAACTATAATTTTTGGTATTCAGAGACATGGTATAAAAAGTTGTAAAATAAATTATGTAAAAAAGGGGCCAAGTTTGGTACGAACGATAATCTAATAATAAAAGAAGGGATATAGACTTCGCGGATAAAATAGATTATCTGAACGAGTGAGTGCCCAGTTCCATAGCAATTACTTTTGTTCATAGCTATAGGAGTGTACAACGTTTTTCAATTAATTTTAAATAAAGTTTGTTAGGTTCTTCATTATTGAATTTATAACTTGGCAAGTGAAAAAATACATGATAGTTATGTATTTTAATTAGGTACTTGATGTGTATGCCCTTCCCTATTCATTGGTTTTAAGGCTTAATTTGGTTTTCATTAATGTCATTAACTTTTATATAATAATAAAAAGAATTGTTGTCAATAGCTTATATAATAAGGTCAAAAAATGTACGCTGGATACGATTTCCAGTAAACGAATTTGTATTTCCATTTTTGTTGTTGTTAGGTGCTCATAACTAAGTGATAATTCTTTTATAACTTTTATATTTATGCGTATTATATTACCACAAACGTCGAAATATCTAAACGTCGTGAACTAAAAACAAGTAAATTAAACGCAATAAAATCCGTAAAAATAGTTTTATTCAATGATAGTTTTTATTCAGAACCTTTTCATGTTCTACTCGTTTACTGATTTTAATGATTCCTACGTCAATCGCTTTATCTGAGTGTAACTAACTAATACGTCAGTAACCAAAAATCAGTCTATGAGGACATCCTGATGCCATATTGTGACATAGAAAAAAAGAAAATTCGATAAACTATGTCAAGTGAGGTATCATTGAATAGGTCTTGGAAAATCATCTTTAGGTTTCTCTGATCATTTTCCATTTTGAATTATTGATGATTTAGGATCTATAACGATTAAAAGATGCGTCAGCAACCATTCACTTATATTTTCAAAACTAACAATGAGGCTGTGATAAAGTTCATAAAATTTAATCGTATAATAGATGTTATCAGTAATTGCTTAAAGTAATTTTTTTAAAGCAGTATTTTACCATTAGGCTTGTTATTAAAATAAAATAATTTTGTTAGTTGTTCTATTTTGTACTTCATTTTAGTTGGATAATAAAAACTTGTCAAGTTACAAACTTATTTTAAAAGAACGTAACAAATTTTATTAGAAATTAATTGAAGCTTATTGTACCTATAGCTATGATTAAAGTAACTTATATAGAACTTGGCACAGGTTCAGACGTCTTCTATTTTATCAAGGAAGCCCGATCGTCGTTTGTATTAATCGTTCTTTTTCGTCATAAGGTTTCTTTCTTTCTCCTTTCTTTCCCCCCCTTTCCGGTAGGACCACCCTCTCACAGAATACCAGCGTAAAATAATAACTTAGTGCTTTGTTTCGTATGGTGAGTAGAGAGAACCGGAGACTCGCCTTTTACTGGAAACGAGGCGTTCCATCTACAGGACTACCCTCAGGAGTTACAACACTGTCTGTGTCACTGCTTTGATTCTTGATCGAGGATAAATGTAGATGTCTGTGGGATACAGCATCCACCTACCACACAGGTGAACTATGTGCTCGTTGGTCACCCTTATTCTATAAAAAAGGCAATCTACTATGGAGGAAAGGAATTATTTATAGACTGTAATAAGTATACTAATAAATAGTACAAAGATGAAGGTATATCTACCGTCTCCGCCGCTCCTGGTGCGGGGACGTTCGGGGCGCGGCGGTGTGGTTGTGGAGACGGTGCGCGTTCGCCGTGGCAGCCGTATGCGCAGCTTGTCGGCGGGCACCGGGGCGGGCGGGGTGGCTGGCTGGGCGGGCGGCGTGAATCGATGGGCAGCAGGCTGGGTCGGTGGCGCGCGGGGTACTCGTGGTGGGGCTGGCGGGGGCGCAACGGCGCGAGGCCTCTGCACCCCCGCCACGCGGACGCCGCTGCGCTCCCGCACGGGCACCATGGGTAGCGCAAGCGATCGCTCCAACGGTAACGTAGTGGGCACATACGGCAACTCTTCCTCGAACGATTCCTGTACCACTAGCCCACGTCGCTCCACCTCGTTGCCGCTGTGCGCCGGCCCCGCCTCCGAACTCGGTTCCGACTCGGATGAATCTCGAGTGCGCGGCGAACCGGCGGACGAACGTACCGCATCATCGCCGGGCTCCGGAGCCGACGGTCGCTCGCAGTGCGGCGGCGACTCCACCGAGGTGATGTGTGTGTCGCGAAGACCCGTTCGACTGTCATCGCTTTCTACGAAACTCGGGATCGATTCTGATATTTCGCTCGTCACACTGGGCGTCTTGGTTATACTGAACTGCGTGCTGAATACTTGCTCCCTACTTCCGACGTGCGTAGTAAAAATTATGCGCTCCCTTCTGCTTTTGTTATCCTCTTCTATGGTGCGTGCGGTGTTAGATGCAGTAGAGCTACTGGGCAGCTCCGTACATAGTTTGACATCCCCGACGCTCGATTCGTTTTTGTCTTCACTCTTTTTATCATTTGGGGGTGTGGTTCGGTCGGTTGCCTGTGCAGTTTGGCTAGATACGGTGCTAGAGGGAAGATTCGATGTTAATACGCAGCTATCGGCAACTTTTTCCGTTGGTGAATGTAACGGTATAATGATACTACCGTCGGGAAGAACTGTTCGCTTTATAGGTTTTTGCGTAGAGCGCGTTGACGTTACGGAGGCAGGTCGTTCAGGTGGCAGGCGAGGCTGCGGGGCGGACGCGGGACGTGTGGTTTCTCGAGACGGCGACACCAGCGCAGTAGCAAAAAGCACCTCGCGGTCCACTGACCGCACCTCACTTACAACGCTGTGTGCACGAGCGGTACTGGTACTAGGTATTTCATCGGGTGGAGTACGTAACGGGATGTGAATGATGCCGTCTTTTGCGTCTTCGTAATACTTAAGTTTCTCCCTACCAATCTGTTTTTCAACGTGCTGCTGTGGAAACTGTCGCTGAGGCTGAACGCTTGGTGAACCATCTCTTGAGCTCGGCGATGGTGATGTGGCGTTTTTTCTTGGAGTTTTGAACAAGGAAAGCATAGAACCTTTAATTTTGGATCCTGAGGTAGGCGTGGTGGATCGATCTCGACTTTTGCTGCGTGATCTGCCTTCGTTGAGACTTTTCTTGCGGCGTAACAAGTCACACGGAGAGTCGGGTGAGGCGATAGTTTCACGCGATTTAAATAAGGAACAGAAGGAGGATTTTCGAGAAACTGTTACACCAGAAGGTGATGGAGTACGGCTATCCCGTAATCTTCGTTGAGGTGCCGGGCTAGTAGCTGCGGCTCGTTCATGTAGTTCTAAAGTGACGGGTTTTCGTGCAGGCTCTCCCCCAACCAACGTTCTCTCGCTTTCGTCATCGTCGTCGTCATCATCGTACTCGTGATCTGGTTTCAATTTGATTCTAATGATGTCTTTGGAGCGATTACTGCTCTTGTATACCTCTGGCTTGGATGGCTCGCGGCATTCTTTCGATCTAGCTCGGCGCTCCTCAGCTCTAGCACGATTTTTTGTTTCTTTTTGTCGTTTATCCTTATCTAATATATTGGAACACGATGCTGGCGTTGATGGTGCGACACATGGTGCCACAGTGGGAGCAGCTGGAGAAACTAGGCGCGGGATATGCACAGGACGCGCACTTTCTACGGTCACTTCCGTGCGCACTTCACGATGATCTCGAGCGTCTACAGGCTCGGGTACGGGTTCCTGAGTCGATATTATAATGGGCGTAGAAGTGGGTCTTAAAGGCGAAGTTACAGGAACGGAAAAGTTCTCGGCGACTGCAGACGAAACCGGAGCTGATGGTGATGAAACTAGCACGGGTAAAGGTTCAGCGGTTAACTTAGCGATTTGAAGCAATCGCTCTTCAACTGCGGCGGCACATATTTCCGGGTCCGTTTCAATCGGTTTTGGACCGCAAAATGAAGTCTCGAGCAACATTTTGTGAGGTGACGGGGAACGTGATGCACCCGAAACCACTGAAAGATGAGAGACGCGACTGGTCTGGCTGAAAGCTGAAATTGCAGAGTGCGCCGAGCATTGTGAACCCACACTAGATATTCGACTGGTGCGTCCTGACACCGCTAGCAGTGCGGCCTCGGAACTCTGACTATCTTTACGTGAATGACGGCGAGAAATAGAGGGCGCGGGTGCAGGGCGTGGCTCCCCTGGTGCGCCTTCTAAAAACGCCAGCTCTTCGGTAGAAGATCGCAACTCAAGCGCGCCGTCTTCCCGGAAGCCAAGTTCGAGGCGTGCACGACCCTCCTCCGCGCCTCCAGCGAATAGAGCTAGCTCAGGCGAACTGTCACGCGAATCGTGATGACTAGAACTGGATGCACGGGAGATATCGATGCGGGGTGCCGCTGGCGTCTGCAACCCTGCACCATTGCCGTGTACCGCTGGAGACGAGTGTGACCGCGCACGTTGCTCGGGCGGCGCGAGTGCGTTGCCGTTCGCTACAATATTGCCACCAGCCGCTGGATCTTCGCGGATTTCCGGCAGTCGGAATGTCTGCTTTGTTTCAGGACTCGACTGCGGAGACGAGAGAGATGTGATCACGACCGAGTTGTGAGCATTAGACGAGCATGCAAGATCGTTCTGCAGGTTAGAGGCGCTCACCTCTTCAGAGACGTCGTGATCGAAGGAGGCGATGGGTGCGGGCCCGCGCCGCGGCCGCCTCTCTTGCGCGCCACTCGCCGCCATGCGCCGCTATTGCACGCAGATCATTTCTCCATACCACTAAGATCCACCATCGACACTCGTTAACTGGCACTTCCAATCACAACACTGTACATTTGAGAAACTGAAATGTATTGACAGCACCGACTAAGTCGAACTGTATGACCACCGATGCACTCGACGCGTGAACTAGTTACATAATCGATCGGAAAGCTTCGAATGGTACGAGCTGTCGAGGGGTGAGATTAGCGCGGATTAGTTTTTGTACACAATGCGAATAGGTGGGAATCTTATCGGAATATAGCATATTATCGTGTTGGCGAGCGGTCGAGGCGGCCGCGGTCGCCGCCATCGAGCGTGGCAAAGCGCCGGCGCGGACTCCGCGCACGCGCGAGTCCCCTCGCCCGTACTCGCGCTGCACTTCGTATAAAACCTAGTGATTATATACTCTTTGCTTCGTACTCCCTTAACCCACATGTTGCGATAGCATCTGCACTCGGCCTTGGAGTCTACCCTTCTTTATAAAGGTAATGAACCGCGCACTTTAAGGCAAAATTACTTTATTAGGATAGTATTTTCTTTACTTCTTTCAAACAATTTATATAGGAAAATAAAGTTATGTTTATTTAATATAGATAATGAATGATCTTTACGAGTAGGTATATTTTATGATCTTAAAATCAAAAATTTGTAAAATACCAAGTCTACTTGCATATTTTGGTTGCAATCTTGGCAATGTTTAAATAATATCTTTTAAGCAATCAAAAAAGCAATGTTCATAATAATTTATTAAAAATATATAATATTTAATATTCACAGAACTTTTAAATTTTAATAAATAAAGGAAAACTTGAGAAGTCGCAATTTCATGCAACATAATTTGAAACTTCAAAAAACCTCTTTGTACCCCTTCGAGTAAATAAAGTAAGTATATATTATATTTTTCTGTTTTCAAAAAATACAAGTTAAAAAATAAAGTAATATTTATTTGACATGCTATTTTTTCCTCACAATATCTTTACATTCTTTTTCTAAGTTTCTTTCATCCTATCACCGAGTTTTATGAATAAAAGAATACACACTATAAATGACGGTGAGGTGACGGAAATGTATAGTACACGTTACACATAACATGAGTTTGTATAAACTTACAACATAGACTAACATTTGACTATTGAAAAATATTTTGACACTATTGTGAAGCGCATAAAACTGAAAAATTTTAAGAATGATTTCCTTGGAGAATGCATCCAGTTTTTATGTTATTTTAGTAAACATTAAAATAAAACCTTTAAAATGGTATGAATAGGTAAAATAAAGTATTATCACGAGTTTTATTGGTCTTATATAAAGGACGTCTGCCCGAAATAACGTATTATACTATATTATAAATTTCGGTGGCAACCCTAAGTGCAAGTAATATTTTGTCCCTGTGTGTGTTCGTTTGCCCTCGGGGCGGATGAGACAGTGCTTCATAGTGCGGGAATAGAATCGATATTTAATTAAAAGTACTCTGTGGTCGATACTGAAAAATTAAGACCATTTTACTGAAAGCCACAGGCAGTGGTCTCGACCTTACTGATACGGGATGTAGCAATAGGCCCAAGGAATGCCACAAATCACGATCCTGAACCACCTGCATCAATTACTGCCAGCTCATGAGATACCTTGAGGATCACCAGCTGATTAGTGAGCGCCAATACGATTTCCATCGTGGTCGATCAGCTGGTGATTTTCTGGTCTACCTGACTCGTAGATGGGCGGATGCAGTAGAAACCAAGGGGGAGGCATTGGCCGTTAGGCCGTTAGTTTGGACATAGCAAAGGCCTTCGATCGGGTCTGGCACAAAGCGCTTCTTTTAAAGCTCGCTTCCTATGGGCTTTCCGAGAAATTGTGCAATTGGATCACTAGTACACACAATTGGTCACTCGGCAGACTTGAAGGTTCTGACCTGTCCATCCTTTGGCTACGCGTAGACAGCGACGACCATCCGCGCGTCTACGGGTGCCTCTATAGGTCCCATAGCGGTAATGCCGAAACAGACCGACTCGTCGACCACGTCCACATGGCTACAGATTCGTTGCTACAGCAGATCCCCTCCACAGAGATCGTGATCCTCGGCGACTTTAACGCCCATCACGCCGAATGGCTTGGTTCACGTTTAAACGATCATGCGGGGAGATCTGGTCATGATTTTGCCTTGGCATATGGTCTGACTCAACTGGTTACTTCGCATACGCGGATTCCAGATGTGGAAGATCATGCACCTTCCCTGTTGAACCTTCTGCTGACTTCTCACCCGGACGGATATCAGATTTCCGTCGACGCCCCTTTAGGCTCCTCGGACCATTGTCTTGTTCGGAGTGTGGTGCCACTCACGCTGAAATCGCAGTTGCATTCTTCAGGCTGCCGCCGTGTTTGGCACTATAGGCCGATTGGGATGGGATGCGGTCTTTCTTTGCATCCTACCCTTGGGGGGCGGGTTTGCTTCTCGCCGGACGATCCCAACGTTATTGCGGATTCTGTCGCTGATGTGGTGCTTCAGGGTAAGGAACTTTTATTCCTTCCTCTGTGGTGCCCATTGGAGGCAAATCTCAGCCATGGTTTGGTCGCTCCTGTAAAATAGCATCATGCTATAAGCAGGAGTGCTACCAAGCCTGGGCTGACGCATCAGCGTCCCGGGATGTAAACACCAGCGCTCTAAAAAGAAGTATAATTCCGCCTCTAGGTCCTTCAAAAGAGTCATTGCCAAGGCAAAGTCAGAGCACATAGGCAGAATTGGCGAGAAACTAGTTCGCCTTCCTTCTGGAACCTGTGCATTCTGGTCTCTCGCCAAGGCTGTCCAGGGGAATTTCTGTCAGCCATCTCTTCCATCTCTGCACAGGGAGGACGACTCACTGGTCCATACCGCAAAGGAGAAAGCCGATCTTCTAGGCTCTTTCTTTGCATCCAACTCGACCCTCGATGACGGGGGGAGTACGCCGCCGACCACCCCGCGGTGTGAGTGCTCCATGCCGGAAGTGCAGTTCACACGGCGCTCGGTTCGCAAAGCACTCCTCTCCCTGAAAATCCACAAGTCGAGTGGGCCTGACGGAATCCCCCCAATTGTGCTGAGGACGTGTGCTCCAGAGTTGGCGCCGGTTTTAACGTTTCTTTTCCGGTACTCCTACTCCCTAGGCGTAGTCCCAAAATCATGGAAGACGGCTTTCGTCCACCCGATCCCTAAAAAAGGCGACCGCTCAGACCCGTCCAACTACCAGCCTATTGCCATCACCTCCTTGTTCTCCAAAACAATGGAGTCCATTGTAAACTGCCAGCTCATGAGGTACCTTGAGGATCACCAGCTAATTAGTGACCGCCAATACAGTTTTCGCCGTGGTCGGTCAGCTGGTGATCTTCTGGTCTACCTAACTCACAGATGGGCGGAGGCAGTAGAGTCCAAGGGGGAGGCATTGGCCATTAGTTTGGACATTGCGAAGGCCTTCGATCGGGTTTGGCACAAAGCGCTTCTTTCGAAGCTCCCTTCTTATGGGCTTCCCGAGAAATTGTGCGATTGGATCACCAGCTTTCTTACAGATCGGGGCATCAAGGTCGTTGTAGACGGTGCAAGCTCCGATTGCAAGCCTATTAACGCTGATGTTCCACAAGGCTGCGTGCTATCGCCAACGCTTTTTCTTCTGCATATCAATGATATGTTGCAAACCCGTAACATTCATTGCTATGCAGATGACATCACTGGTGATGCTCTTTACACCGAGCCAATATTCTCGGGAAAACGTCTCCGAGTGCCGGGACAAACTTGTGTCTGAAATCGAGTCTTATGTTGCATATCAGTCATATGTTGAAAACTGGTAACATTAATTGCTATGCAAACGACAGAACTGGTGATGCCCTATACACCGGCTGTGCCAATATTTCTTTGGAAAACGTCACCGAGTACTGGGACAAACTTGTGTCTGAAGTCGAGTCTTTGCTTAACAAAGTCTCAGATTGGACTCGTATAATATATATGCAGCGTGGCTCTAGCACGTATAATAAAGTTGCAGCGTGGCTCTAGCACGTATAATATAGCTGCAGCGTGGCTCTACCACGTATAATATAGCTGCAGCGTGGCTCTACCACGAATAATATAGCTGCAGCGTGGCTCTAGCACGTATAATATAGCTGCAGCGTGGCTCTACCACGAATAATATAGCTGCAGCGTGGCTCTACCACGTATAATATAGCTGCAGCGTGGCTCGAGCACGTATAATATAGCTGCAGCGTGGCTCTAGCACGTATAATATAGCTGCAGCGTGGCTCTACCACGTATGATATAGCTGCAGCGTGGCTCTACCACGTATAATATAGCTGCAGCGTGGCTCTAGCACGTATAATATTGCTGCAGCGTGGTTCGACCACGTATAATTATAGCTGCAGCGTGGCTCTACCACGTATAATATAGCTGCAGCGTGGCTCTAGCACGTATAATATAGCTGCAGCGTGGCTCTAGCACGTATAATAAAGCTGCAGCGTGGCTCAGCACGTATAATAAAGCTGCAGCGTGGCTCTACCACGTATAATAATAGCTGCAGCGTGGCTCTAGCACGTATAATATAGCTGCAGCGTGGCTCTAGCACGTATAATATAGCTGCAGCGTGGCTCTAGCACGTATAATATAGCTGCAGCGTGGTTCTAGCACGTATAATATAGCTGCAGCGTGGCTCTAGCACGTATAATATAGCTGCAGCGTGGCTCTAGCACGTATAATATAGCTGCAGCGTGGCTCTAGCACGTATAATATAGCTGCAGCGTGGTTTCAGCACGTATAATATAGCTGCAGCGTGGCTCTAGCACGTATAATATAGCTGCAGCGTGGCTCTAGCACGTATAATATAGCTGCAGCGTGGCTCTAGCACGTATAATATAGCTGCAGCGTGGCTCTAGCACGTATAATATAGCTGCAGCGTGGCTCTAGCACGTATAATATAGCTGCAGCGTGGCTCTAGCACGTATAATATAGCTGCAGCGTGGCTCTAGCACGT